GGAGTCTCCCTCTGTTACCCAGGCTGGAGTGCAGTGGTGCAATCTCAGCTCACTGCAACCTCCGCTTCACGGATTCAAGCGATTCTCCTGCCTCAGCCTCCCAAGTAGCTGGGATTACAGGTGTGTGCCACCACACCCAGCTAATTTTTGTATTTTAGTAGAGATGGGGTTTCACCATGTTAGTCAGGCCGGTCTCGAACTCCTGACCTTGTGATCGCCCACCTCGGCCTCCCAAAGTGCTGGGATTACAGGTATGAGCTACCATGCCTGGCCTCATTGTATCATTTTTTTGCCTTTGCATCCTCATAGCTTAGCTCCCACATATCAGCAGGGACATACAATGTTTGGTTTTCCATTCCTGAATTACTTTACTTAGAATAATAGTCTCCAGTCTCATCCAGGTCACTGCAAATGCTGTTAATTCATTCCTTTTTATGACTGCGTAGTATTCCATTGTATATAATACCAATTTCTTTATCTCCTTGTTGATTGATGGGCATTTGGGTTGATTCCATGATTTTGCAATTGTGAATTGTGCTGCTATAAACATGCTTGTGCAAGTATTTTTTTCAAATAATGATTTATTTTCCTCTGTGTAGATACCTGGGATTGATGGATCAAATGGTAGTTCTTCTTTTGGTTCTTTAAGGAATCTCCACACTGTTTTCCATAGTGACCGTACTAGTTTACATTCCCACCAGCAGTGTAGAAGTGTTCCCTGTTCACCTCATCCACGCCAACATCTACTGTTTTTTGATTTTTTGATTATGGCAGTTCTTGCAGGAGTAAGGTGGTATTGCATTGTGGTTTTGACTTGCATTTCCCTGATCATTAGTGATGTTAAGCATTTTTTCATATGTTTGTTGACCATTTGTATATCTTCTTTTGAGAATTGTCTGTTCATATCCTTAGCCGACTTTGTGATGGGATTTTTTTCTTTTTTTTTTTTTTTTCTTTTGAGACAGAGTCTCATTTTGTTGCCCAGGCTGGAGTGCAGTGGCACGATCTCGGCTCACTGCAAGCTCTGCCTCCCGGGTTCACACCATTCTCCTGCCTCAGCCTCCCAAGTAGCTGGGACTACAGGTGCCTGCCACTATGCCCAGCTAATTTTTTTGTATTTTCAGTAGAGACGGGGTTTCACTGTGTTAGCCAGGATGGTCTCGATCTCTTGACCTCGTGATCCACCCACCTCGACCTCCCAAAGTGCTGGGATTACAGACATGAGCCACCGTACCCGGCCAGAATTGTTTTTTTCTTACTGAGTTCATTATAGATTCTGGGTATTAGTCCTTTGTCAGATGTATAGATTGTGAAGATTTTATCCCACTCTTTGGGTTATCTGTTTACTCTGCCTTTTATTTTGCCATTCAAAAAGCTCTTTAGTTTAATTAGGTCTCAGCTATTTATCTTTGTTTTTATGTTTTTATTGCATTTGCTTTTGGGTTCTTGGTCATGAAATCTTTTCCTGAGCCATTATCTAGAAGGGTTTTTCCAACGTTCTAGAATTTTTATAATTTCAGGTCTTAGGTTTAAGTCCTTAATTAATCTTGAGTTGGTGTTTTGTGTTTTGTTTGTTTGTTTTTTGTTTTTTTGAGATGGAATCTTGTTCTGTCACCCAAGCTGGAGTGCAGTGGTGCGATCTCGGCTCATTGCAAGCTCTGCCTCCTGGGGTCACACCATTCTCCTGCCTCAGCCTCCTGAGTAGCTGGGACTACAGGTGCCTGCCACCATGCCCAGCTAATTTTTTTATTTTTATTTTTACTTTTTGTATTTTTAGTAGAGATGGGGTTTCACCATATTAACTAGGATGGGCTCGATCTCCTGACCTCGTGATCCACCCACCTCGGCCTCCCAAAGTGCTGGGATTACAGGCATGAGCCACTGCGCCTGGCCAAGTTGATTTTTATATAAGGTGAGAGATCAGGATCCAGTTTCATTCCTCTACAGGTGGCTAGCCAATTATCCCAGCATTTGTTGAAAAAGGTATCCAGTTCTGGGCTGGTACTGGAGGTTATCTGCAGAGTCCGGTGATGTGAACCGTCTATGGGTCTCTCACTCATGGATACCAGTGCCTGTTCGGTGGAGGTGGCCGAGGGTACAATGAACTCCATGAAGGTCCTTAGCTTTGGTGGTTTAATGGTCTATTTTTTTTCTGGTTGGCCTCCTGCCAGGAGGTGGTGCTTTTCAGAAAGCATCAGCTGTGTTAGGGGAGGAACCAGCAGTGGGCGGGGCCCTAGAACTCCCAAGATTATTTGCCCTTTGTCTTCCTGCCAGGGTGGATAGGGAAGGACAATCAGGTGGGGGTGGAGCTAGGTGTGTCTGAGCTCAGACTCTCCTAGGGCAGGTCTTGCTGCGGCTGCTGTAGGGAATGGGGGTGAGATTCCCAGGTCACTGGAGTTCTGTACCTAGTAGAGTTATGGCTGCCTCTGCTGAGTCATGCAGGTTGTCAGGGGGAAGTGGGGGAAAGCCAGCAGTCACAGGCCTCACCCAGCTCCCACATAAACCGAAAGGCCAGTCTTACTCCCACCGTGTCCCCCAACAACTGCCCTGAGTCTGTTTCCAGGCAGAAGGTGAGACTGGCCTGAAAATTTGCCCAAGGCTGTTCGCCTCCCAGCTGCAAAAGAAAAGGGCTGTAGTTATCGCCCCACCTGTGAAGTCTGCATGCCGGATTCGGATTCGTGCCCTTCCCTGAGTTCTGGCCAGGAGCCTTCTTGCCCTGTTTAAATTGTTACAGAGTTCGACTAGAAATTTGGAATTCCTTCTCCCTGTGGAGTTTTATCCCCTGCTCCTCTGGCCAACCTCCCTCTGGATCCCTGTGGTGTCAGGCAGGAATGGGCTGCCTGGGGACCCAGCAAGCTCTCCCTGCCTTTCTGCTGCTTCCTCTTCCCCTGTATTTCGCTTGCCTGAGTCTGACTTAGCTCCAGGTAAAGTCAGAAATTTCTTCTGCAAACAGACCTTCAGCCTCTCCAGTGCGGGGGTGTGTTTTTGAGAGGAGGGTCTCCCTTTCCCACTTCCACAGTTGGGGCACTCACAGTATTTGGGGGTCTCCCGGGCCCTGCAGGAGCAATCTGCTTCCTTCAGAGGGTCTGTGGGTCCTCTCAGGATTGCTGGCTTGTTCTTGCAGTTGATCTGGAGCTAAAATTCACAATGTAAGCCTCTGCATGCTGCTCTGTCTGAAGTTGCAGTCTAGTCCTGCCTCCTGTTTGCCATGATCCCAGGAGCTCCCCTGCAAATAAATTATGATCGCAAGGTCCCAACATAGGCTGTTTGCAAGCTGAGGAGCAAGGAGAGCCAGTCCGAGTCCCAAAACTGAAGAACGTGGAGTCTGATGTTTGAGGGCAGGGAGCATCCAGCATGGGAGAAAGATGTAGGTGGGGAGTCTAGGCCCATCTCATCTGTCTTTTAATATCTTTTCTAACTAACCTGTAAGCTCCATGAAGACAGTCTAGCTCTTTTTCATCTCATGTCCCTCACTATACCTAACAAGGACCTTATTAAAAGTGAGTTGACTGGCTGGGTGCAGTGGCTCACACCTGTAATCCCAGCATTTTGGGAGGCTGAGGCAGGTGGATTACTTGACCTTAGGGAGTTCAAGACCAGCCTGGGCAACATGGCGAAACCCCATCTCTACAAAAAATAATTACCCAGCTGTGGTGGGGTGTGCCTGTAGTCTCACGTACTATGGAGCCTGAGATGCGAGAATCGCCTGACCCTGGGGAGGTCAAGGCTGCAGAAAGCTGTGATCCCGCCACTGCAGTACAACCTGGGCGACAGAGTGGGACTCCGTCTCAAAAAAAAAAAGAAAATTAATTGACTTGGTAGTTCCAACAACGAGTACCAGTTGGACCACATTATTGGCAGTGCGTCCAGGGGAACAGATGTTCACATGCAAATCCATGAAACTGGAAACAAAAAACAACAATCATGACATTGATTGATAGTGATGTTTACTATGTCAGACTGTTTAAGCTCAGCTATAAAATAGACTCTCAGCCGGGGTTGGGGGTGGCTCATGCTTGTAATCCCAGCACTTTGGGAGGCCGAGGCGGGCAGATCACCTGAGGTCAGGAATTCGAGACCAGCCTGGCCAACATGGTGAATGAATCCCCACCTCTACTAAAAATACAAAAATTAGCCGGGCATGGTGGCATGCACCTGTAATCCCAGCTACTCGGGAGGCTGAGGCAGGAGAATCACTTGAACCTGGGAGGCGGAGGTTGCAGTGAGCCAAGATCATGCCATCACACTCCAGCCTGGGCAACAGAGCAAGATTCCATCTCAAAAAATAAAATAGACTCTCATACTGTCATCTTTACATTTTGATTTGAGAGATTCTCAAACATTTAAATACTGGCACTTGACCCAGATGCTAATTCTTACTTGATGCACTATTTATCTGTATCAAATTATAGTCCTGTTCCTTTGAATTGCTTTTTTTTTTTTTTTTTTTTTTTTTGAGACAGTGTCTCGCTCTGTTGCCCAGGCTGGAGTGCAGTGGCTCTGCCTCAGCCTCCCGAGCAGCTGGGATTATAGGTACCCACCACCAAGCCTGGCTAATTTTTGTACTTTTAGTAGAGATAGAGTGTCACCATCTTGGCCAGGCTGGTCTTGAACTCCTGACCTTGTGATCCACCTGCCTCAGCTTCCCAAAGTGCTTGGATTACAGGCGTGAGCCACCACGCCCGGCCTGAATTTCACACTCAAAACCTCTCCTTCCTGAGAAAACAGCACCCCTGGGTGCTTGCAAGATATTTTTGGTCTATTGCAAGAAAATATGTATTAGCTGGCAGGGCATGTCCTGGTAACATGGCAGACAGTGCAAGGGTGAGGAGAGGGGTGTCTTGCTGAATAATGTGTCTCCACCCATTTCCTAAATTCCCTTGGTAACAGATGGGTCATCATTTGAATTGCTTTATAAAAAGCTGTCTTCAAATCTGAAGCACAATCTTGAGGGCAGATGCCTCTTTCTGAAAGCTCTCCTCCTTATTCATCTAACCCAGGTCCTCAGCCAGCAGAGCCATGTTCCTCAAGAGCACCACGGGTTTATTTCATTTTCCTACATCACTGACCCGAATATGCCGGGCGCCCTGGGGACTCCGGCTTTGGGAGAAGCTGACGTTGTTATCCCCAGGAATAGCTGTCACTCTGGTCCAGATGGCAGGCAAGAAGGACTACCCTGCACTGCTTTCCTTGGATGAGAATGAGCTCGAAGAGCAGTTTGTGAAAGGACACGGTCCAGGGGGCCAGGCAACTAACAAAACCAGCAACTGTGTGGTGCTGAAGCACATCCCCTCGGGCATCGTTGTAAAGGTAGACAACAGAAGGCCGCTGAGGGGAGAGGCCCCGCCCAAGGGTCCCACAACCTCCAGAGATTTCTCCCAAGTCTGAATGGGATCAGCTGAAGGGCATTCTCTTTCTGGCTCAGGCCACCCTCTACCAGCCAGGCAGTAGAGGGCACTGCAGATCTCGTCCCATCCCTGAGCCATTCCTCCCTAAGGCAGAACCACCTACAACAGCCTGGGAAGCCTGCTTCCAGGATCTTTTGGAGCCAGGGTATGGCTGCCATCCTTGAATTTGGCAGGCAGCACTGGTGCTTGGCTGCTGCCCCGGAAGCAACATCTTGACAAAGCTACGCAGTGGCTGATAAAGGCAGGCGCCCGGGCAGCATGGTTCTTTCAAATCCATTCCCACTTCAGGAAGGCTGCCGAGATCCCCAGCATTGCTGTGGGCTCCAAGTCCCTGAGGAGGCAGCAAGCAGGTCTGGGTTGTCGGCTAGGGGTCCCAGCCCTTAGCTGTCCTGGCTGGTTAACGTTAGCGTGGCCACGTCCTCCATGCCTCTCTGTCCCCTTTGGTAAATGTCGGTGATACTTCCCCTTCTGGACAGAGAGGACTGAGGGTGAGATCATGGAGGATCATGGAGGCCAGGCATTTTCCAACCTCAGAAGAAAAAATGCTGTGCACAGCTGCCTATGGGAGTCTTCCTTCTTTACATAAAAAAACAAGTCTCGGGCCGGGCACGGTGGCTCACGCCTATAAACCCAGCACTTTGAGAGGCCGAGGTGGGTGGATTACCTGAGGTCAGGAGTTCGAGACCAGTCTGGTCAGCATGGCAAAACCCCATCTCTACTAAAAATACAAAAATTAGCCGGGCGTGGTGGCGCGTGCCTGTAATCCCAGCTACTCGGGAGGCTGATGCAGGAGAATCGCTTGAACCCTGGAGGCAGACATTGCAGTGAGCCGAGATCACGCTACTGCACACCATCAGCCTGGGCAACAGACAAGATTCCCTCTTAAAAAAAAAAAAGACAAGACTGATCAGAGGGGCTCCCAGTCCATCTGCCTCATGGACTGGAAGCAGCACAGAAAAGAGATAGCCAAGGCAGGTGTTTCATGTATAATGATACTGGCAGCAGATACTTACAGACCATGGAAACGTGTGGGAGGAACTGTTCTAAACAGCATTAACTCTGCAGTCCCCATAACTCCATGTTCATTATTTCCATCACAGTACAGGTGTGGAATCTGGGACACAGAGAGGCTAAGTGACCTGCCCAAGGTCTTGCCACTTAGTAGTTCAAACCATACCCCAAGTCCATCTACCTAACAGCTGCACTTCACTGGTGGGTTTTTGAGCCACGAGCATATCATGTAAAACCTCAATCACTTTTTCTCCTTGAAAAGTGTCATTCATGAGTAACAAAATTCTGAAACATGAGAGTTAATTTTTGTTTAACCTATTTTACATAACTCATTCCAAACTTGCTTTCACTATTATTCTTTCACCGTAATTTCATTTTTTTTTTTTTTTTTTTTTTAAGAGACAGGGTCTTGCTTTGTCAGCCAGGCTGAAGTACAGTGGTACAATCACGGCTCAGTGTAGCCTCAGACACCTGGGCTCGAGCAATCCTCCCGCCTCAGCCTCCTGAGTAGCTGGGACTGAAGGCATGCACCACCACACTCACTGTTTTTTGTTTTGTTTTTTTGAGACAGTCTTGCTCTATTGCCCAGTCTGGAGTACAGTGGCGCAGTCTCAGCTCACTGCAACCTCCGCCTCCTGGGTTCAAGCAATTCTCCTGCCTCAGCCTCCCGAGTAGCTGGGATTACAGGTGCCCATCACCACGCCCAGCTAATTTTTTTGTATTTTTACTAGAGACGGGGTTTCACCATGTTGGCCAGGCTGGTTTCGAACTCCTGACCTCAAGTGATCCGCCCATCTTGGCCTCCCAGAGTGCTAGGATTACAGGCATGAGCCACCGTGTCCAGTCACCCAATTTTTACATTTTTGGTGGAGATGGGGGGTCTTGCTATGTTGCCCATGCTGGTCTCAAACTCCAGCCCTCAAGTGATCCTCCCATTTCAGCCCCCAAAACATTGGGATTATAGGTGTGAGCCACTATGCCTGGCTTGGGATGTATCTTTTATCAAACAGCTTTGCAAGGCACTCACCTGTAATAACTAAGGCATTACATAGTGAATGAGTTATGGTTGACTAATAATAAAGATGCTATTTTCTTCCTTCAGACAGAACTTTATGCTTATGAATGGTGCACACAAAGTGTTTGTTCACTGGCCACAAGCTAGATACATAGTTGATATTTTTATAATTATTTTGGGACTTTAAGTTATTTGAAGGCCACTGTTGCTTCTAAACAAAATAGCACTCCTAAGATTAAAACAATCACAGTGAAAGCCACATAATACAGCAAGGGTGTGAGACACGGGGCAGAGGCAGGAGAGGGGCTGGTCTTCACTGTTACTGACTCATGGGGACTCCTGATAAGGGGCTTTGCCTTCCAGGTGTGTCCCTCTCTATAAAGCGAACAGGTTGTCGTGACCAGCCTGACCAACATGGTGAAACCTCATCTCTACTAAAAATACAAAAATTAACTGGGCATGGTGGCATGCGCCTGTAATCCCAGCGACTTGAGAGACTGAGGCAAGAGAATTGCTTGGACCCAGGAGGCGGAGCTTGCAGTGAGCCAAGATCACTCCATTGCACTCTAGCCTGGGTGACAAGAACGAAACTCTGTCTCAATAAATAAATAAATAAGCGAACAGGTTGAATTTAATGACTTCTGAGGTCCTGTTTTTTAACATCCTGTGGTTTTCACATTATAAAATATTATCTCTTACAGTGCCATCAGACAAGATCAGTTGATCAGAACAGAAAGCTAGCTCGGAAAATCCTACAAGAGAAAGTAGATGTTTTCTACAATGGTGAAAACAGTCCTGTTCACAAAGAAAAACAAGAAGCAGCGAAGAAAAAACAAGAAAGGAAAAAAAGAGCAAAGGAGACCCTGGAAAAAAAGAAGCTACTGAAAGAACTGTGGGAGTCAAGTAAAAAGGTCCACTGAGAAAAGAATTACAGATTCCAACTGACAGAATCTGCCAGAAGCTCCCAGGGAATAATGGCGGTGAGTTCCATCACCAGCATTATTACAGTGCTTCAAAAGAAATATTTTTGATGAACTTAAAAGACAACAAAGTTATTTAAATGGTGCACTAAACTATAGTGAACAGAGACATGCACGACTCAAGAATAAAACTCGGCAGGCATGGTGGACAGTGCCTCACACCTGTGATCCCAGCACTTTGGGAGGCCGAGGCGGGCAGATCACCTGAGGTCAGCAGTTTGAGAACAGCCTGGCCAACACGGTGAAACCCCGTCTCTACTAAAAATACAAAAACTTAGCCAGGCATGGTGGTGGGCACCTGTAATCCCAGCTACTTGGGAGACTGAGGCAGGAGAATTGCTTGAACCTGGGAGGCGGAGGTTGCAGTGAGCTGAGATTGCGCCACTGCACTCCAGCCTGGTCAACACCTGGGTGACAGAGCAAGACTCCGTCTCAAAAAAATAATAAAACTAGGTTGAGCACAATGACACACGCCTGTGTCCCAGCACTTTGGGAGTTTAAGGCAGGAAGATCACCTGAGCCCAGGAGCTCAAGATTGCACTGAGCTATGAACACCACTGCACTCCGCCTGTCCACTTGTTCTTGTGTGACAGAACAAGACCCTGTCTCTTAAAAAATAAGATAAAACCATAAAGAAACACAGAGTCAGTACTCTACAAGGATAATGGCCACTTCTAGAGGGAAGAAAGGAGTTGTCACTGTGATGAGGCACTTGGAGGGGCTCTGGGGTGCCTGACAAAGTTCTATTTCTTCACCTGGGTGGTAGTTAGAAGGGTGTACCCCTATTTCAAGTTATACCTTTGTGTGATTGTATCTGTTTTGTAATAATAATTTTTTTTTTACATTAGTAAAGTCAGTTTTTATAGAGAACTGGAGAATTGAGTCAAACATTAATAGCATTTGGTGGCAACTTCTCATCTACTGGGAAGCTGCTGCCCAGTGACACTTAAACATCAGTTATCCCGATGTCAGCTCAAGACAGTAAAACAGAAAACAAGGGCCGGGCGCGGTGGCTCATGCCTATAATCCCAGCACTTTGGGAGGCCGAGGCGGGGTGGATCACAAGGTCAGGAGTTCGAGACCAGCCTGACCAACATGGTGAAACCCTGTCTCTACTAAAAATACAAAAATTAGCCAGGCATGTTGGCACGTGCCTGTAATCCCAGCTACTCGGGAGGCTGAGGCAGGAGAATTGCTTGAATCCGGGAGGCGGAGGTTGCAGTGAGCTGAGATTGCGCCACTGCACTCCAGCGTGAGTGACAGAGCAAGATTCTTGTCTCAAAAAAAAAAAAAAAGAAAACAAGATGGTTGGAAGAGTTAAAGGCTCCGTTCCTTGTCCATGTGCTCCATTAGCTTCTAGGCTGCATGATGCCCAGTTGTGCCTCTGATGTAGAAATACATTCCCTGTGTGTTCATTTGCAAGATTTGTAAAGGTGAGGTTCCAGAATCTGATTGCTTATAAATTTACATTACTCAAGCTGGATTTGACTTTAGAGTTTTGTTGTTTTTTTTTTTTTTAAGCCATGCTTAATAACTTGGCTTGTTAGAACTCTTCTGGAGTCCACCTAGAAAACAAATAGGGAAAAATACTGGGAGGTGAGAAGGCCATTGTGAGATTGCCAGTTGCGGGGCCTGCTTCAGTTCTGCAGTCTGTCCAGCAGCCTAGGCCGCATGTCCAGTGCATACATTCAAGCACACCTTTCTCTTTGAGGCTGCCAATGAAGGCTCTTCTCACCTCAGTGACCGCTTTGGACGCTTACACATTCAATGCAGGGCTCATTCCACACCTCCTGTTGCGAGTGTACAGGACCCTTCCCCAGCCCAAACTCCCTTTAGAAAATAAAGTCTCTAGAATGACACCTAAGAAATCAGTAATAGTGGGAAGGGAAATTTGGAGCTGGAGATGAGGGACAGTGGTTCCCATTTGTCTCCTCTCTCATACCTTTGCAACTTTCTGCCACATGCAGGAAGGGGACACAGCACCCATTTCCCTAGAGCCTGTTCCTGCTGGCCTTCTGCCTTGTCACAGCTGAGAATTTGCCTGATGCCTGCATCAAAAACAAGTCTCATTTGTCTTTGTCTACTGCTCAGCAAAGCAAATTCTCATTACAGGCATTTAGGGCCTAAGATACAGAGTAAGTATTAAAATCCCTTTGAGAGGCATTGTCAGAGACCAACAGGTGGATTCTCAACACATCCAGTGTGGCCCATTTTTTCCCTGGCACCAAAGCAGATGATTCTTCCAGTGAGCACCTTATGAAGTAGCTTGAATTTAGGGGCTGCACTTTATGAAAAAGATTCCTCTAGCACCCAGCAAAAGCTCACAGGATAAGCACCTATGAACTGAGAATGGCCTAACCATGGGGCAATAGGCCAACTCAATAATATTGCTCCTTGCTGGGCAGGGTGGCTCACGCCTGTAATCCCAGCACTTTGGGAGGCCAAGGCGGGTGGGTCACCTGAGGTCAGGAGTTCGAGACCAGCCTGACCAACATGGTAAAATCCCCTCTCTACTAAAAATACAAAAATTAGCTGGGAGTGGTGGCACGCTCCTGTAATCTCAGCTACTCTGGAGGCTAAGCTGGGAGAATCACTTGAACCTGGGAGGCAGAGATTGCACTGAACCAACATCAAGCCACTGCACTCTAGCGTAGGCAACAGAGGGAGACTCCATCTAAAAAAATAATAATTTTTTTTAAAAAACTGCTGGTATTTTTTTTTCCTAGCATACACTTACATTTGCTGCTGCATTTAAAATATACCGATAATGTAACTTCACTTTATCCCTACCTCTGACTTAGCAAACACATTCTTTCCCCAGCCAACTGTGCTAATGATGTCATCACCAAAATGTTTCCGGGTCAGGTGGGAAAATATACTTTGAACAGGTATCTCCTACCTCTTGTAAAAAGTAAAGTAGAGGTTCCTCTCCAAAGACTTTCCTCCCCATTTAATTTGGAATAAATAGTAACTTCTCTTAGAAGCAAAATTTATTCAAAGACCTACGCTAACATTCTTAATTATCTGCTAGCCGTGGTAAACAAATCAATGTACTTTATGTTAGCTCCCACAATGTAGCCTAAATATTTGCCTGGCATGCTTATACTGGTCCAAGCAAGCATTAGGTCATAGCCTGTTCCTCTTCCTTATTTAAAAGTGTTTTTACCTTTCTCACCATTCCTCAAGTTACTTCCTCCTTCCTTTGTTCTCCTCTGCCTTTACCTCTTAAAAAGTTCTAAGTTGCTAGCCAATCAGGACAAATACAGAATGTGAGGTCCCGTTCCAGCCAGTGGAAACCAGACACAGCCGTAGGGTGGACGCGTCAGGTTATAAATGACCCAGTCTCTTTGTTCGGTGTACTCTCATGGCAAAACTGGCGAGCGTACCCTTTCAGCAAGAAGTAAAACTGGCCTTGCTAAGTAAATGAATGTTCAAGTGCTATTTCTTTACGGCACCGGGGAACAAGCATTTCAAACACTTTCATGAGAGATTATTTAAAACAGCACTTCTTTAGATGAGGCATGGTGGTTCACACCTATAATCCCAGTACTTTGAGAGGCTAAGGTGGAAGGATCACTTGAGCCCAGGATCCAACCTAGGCAACATAGTGAGACCTCATGTCTACAAAAAAAGTTGTTTGTTTTTTTCACACACCCACTCATTCAATACAAAAAGTATTTTTAAAATTATTCAGGCGTAGTGGCACACACCTGTAGTTCCAGCCACTAGGGAGGCTGAGGTGGGAGGATTGCTTGAAGGAGGTTGAGGCTGTGGTGAGCCAAGATTACATTACTGCACTCCAGCCTGGGTGGCAAAACAAGACCCTGTCTCAAAAAAATAAAACCACGTAAGAATTCAAGGAACCCGGCCGGGCGCGGTGGCTCAAGCCTGTAATCCCAGCACTTTGGGAGGCCGAGACGGGTGGATCACGAGGTCAGGAGATCGAGACCATCCTGGCTAACACGGTGAAACCCCGTCTCTATTAAAAAATACAAAAAAATAGCCGGGCGAGGTGGCGGGCACCTGTAGTCCCAGCTACTTGGGAGACTGAGGCAGAAGAATGGCGTAAACCCGAGAGGCGGAGCTTGCAGTGAGCTGCGATCCGGCCACTGCACTCTAGCCTGGGCGACAGAGTGAGACTCCGTCTCAAAAAAAAAAAAGAATTCAAGGAACCCACATTTTAATACAAATTGTTAATGAAAATAAGCTTTATTACATCAAGTAATAAATACATACAAAGATGCAAACAGTTTTAGTCATTTTCTTCCAGATGTTTTTATCAACTTACAATAAACGCGGAACTGAAATCTACTTACAGTCTTAGTATGAAAATGTTCGGGGGTCCTTGTTAGGTTTGGTGGGTTGCTCTTTCTTCTGTATTTATAACTTGTGCATTTTTAAAAATTGACTTTGAAGCACTAATAGTCATGCAGATGCTTAAGCAAAAAAGAAGTTATATTAAGCAGAACCTACACTGTATGGCAAATGGGAGCCAGCTACTAAGTAAAGGGTGTTGTCAATATGCATTAAAAACAAAATCCCTAGAGTGGTGTTAGCTTATGAAAAGGAACAAAGAACACCGTGGGTAACAAATGCATTCAAAAGAGAAGATTAAAGGGAGACAATGGTGTCTTGGAGGCAAACTACAGTTTGCTGTAAGATAACTTTACGTGCATCTTTTAAATCAATGCTAAAAAAACAAAAAAACCTGGGCAGTTCCTAACTACTTAAAATGCAAATCCTAATTAACAGCAAAATCTTTTCTCAATCTTTGAGACTGTAGGTTCAGAGCCAAGTGAACCATGGGAGGAACAAACAAACTGTAACCATTTTGAAAACAAGGGTTTCATCTGAACAGGGGAGATGAACTGTAACTTCTCATCTTGTAAAAAGATGGAAATCCTTCAAAACCAACAAGGCAGCTAGGATCTGGCATTCCGTTCCGTTTCTGCTAAGCACTCCCGAACCAGTCCTCTAGCGTGAATGATGCCTGAAAGAGAGGCAGAGACCCGAGATCAGCCGGTGCACAGGACCAGCCAGTAGAGCCCATTCTGGAACAGGAAGAGGATCCATCCTTCCACAGCCTGTCCACAAAACCCTCAGACAGAAAGGGAACTGGGGGAACCTATATCCAAGCAACCCTGAAGGATGCTAACAATCCCATCCCCCTAAAGCCCTTCCCTCCTCACCACAACTCTTCATGTCTCTCTCAACATTTTTTCCTGCATTCAAGGTGGCACCAGCAAGCTGTCCTGTGACACTGTTGAATAAAAGACGTGTCTCCACCCAAATTCTTTTGCTTGACCCACTGTTGAGATTTTTCTCTGGCTTCTTCAGTCTGAATTCTAGAAAGGGCTTGACCAGCGTAAGTAAGCAAGAGAATGGCTCCAGCTACACACATGAGGGCGCAGAGGACTGACTGCTGCCCATGCAGGACCCTGGGTCCACGGGGACATCCCCACAAGACTCTGCAGCTACCTTCTGCCCAATGAATCTTCCCCAATCTTTTGTCTCTATGGTTTGGTGGTTACCTTTTTTTCTTTCTGCCTCTACTGAACTTCATAAAATATGATCTTTTAATAGACACTGAGGATTCTGTTCCTTCTAATCCATGACTCCCAGAGGCCACTGGGAATGACATCCCACATCATCACCCCACAAATCTTAGAATCTAACTCAGAGCCTTGGAGAATGTTTTGTGTGAGGACCAGACAGCAAATATTTTGGGCTTTGCAGGCTACACAGTGTCACAACTACTACACTCAAATGTTTTTTGAGACAGCATTTTGCTGTCACCCAGGATGGAGTGCAGTGGCCACAATCACAGTTCATTGCAGCCTCAACCTCCCAGGATCAGATCACCTGATCACCTCCCACCTCAGCCTCTGGAGAAGCTGGGATTATAGGCACACACCACCATGCCTGGCTGTTTTATTATTATTTGTAGAGATGGGAGTCTCACTATGTTGCTCAGGCTGAACTCGAGCTCCTGGCTTCAGCCTCCAATTCAAACTGCTGGATTACAGGCGTGCACCACCACACCTAGCCCCACAAACCTTTATTTATGAACATTTAAGTCTGAATTTCACATAACTTTCACACGTCCCAAAATCATTGTTTTTTTTCAACCATTAAGAACGATGCCTGTCACGGTGGCTCACACCTGTAATCCCAGCACTTTCAGAGGCAAGGGCGGGTTAGCCACTTGAGGTCAGGAGTTTGAGACCAGCCTGGCCAACATGGTAAAACCCCATCTCTACTAAAAATACAAAAATTAGCTGGGCGTGGTGGTGAGCACCTATAATCCCAGCTACTCAGGAGGCTGAGGCAGGAGAATTGCTTGAACCCAGGAGGCAGGGGTTGCAGTGAGCCAAGATCACACCACCGCATTCCAGCCTGGGTGACAGAGCAAGACTCCGTCTCAAAAAAAAAAAAAAAGAAAAACACACTATTCTTGGCTCTTGGCTCGTGGGCTGCAGTTGCCAACCAACCTACAATGCTCCTATGCTCCTAACTCCCTGACCCCTCTATGACATGTTTTCACCCTGCTGTTGACATGAGCTTGGTCAGCTTGGGCTTGGCTGTTGGCCAAGGGGTGGCACTGGGTCTTCCTTGTTACTGCAAGACTGGCAGCTAGTACGCATTTGCTGACTTGAAGCAGTGCCTTTTATGGGCAACTGCAAATCACCTGTTGGACTTTGGGACCCAGCATCTTCCCAGGAATTTCCATTCGGGTAACCAGCACCCCTGCTACCAGAGAGCGGCCCTGGGACCACCCAACTCTCTGGGCGAGACCAGGGTTGGGTTCTGCATCCCTTCCCCAGGCCCTCTTCAATCACATCCTCTAATCCTGCTGGTCCCAGCCTAGCTTTGAGATCCGTCAACCTCTTCACAAAGGCTGCATGAACTCCAGAGCAACCCCGCTCCTGGCAGCAGCCTGTCCTCAACTGGCCCTCCTGTCACTGGGGTCATGACTTCAACTACAGCCCCCATATTTCCTACAGATTTACAACCAAAGAATGTTCCTCTCCCAGGCCAGGCATGGTGGCTCACGCCTGTAATTCCAGCACTTTGGGAGGCCAAGGTGGGTAGATCACAAGGTCAAGAAATTGAGACCATCCTGGCCAACCAACATGGTAAAACCTGGTCTCTGCTAAAAATACAAAAACTAGCTGGGCGTAGTGGCGCACGTCTGTACTCCCAGCTACTTGGGAGGCTGAGGCAGGAGAATCGCTTGAACCCGGGAGGCAGAGGCTGCAGTGAGCCGAGATTGCGCCACTGCACTCCAGCCTGGGTGACACAGCAAGACTCCATCTCAAAAAAAAAAAAAAAAAAAGAAAGATGTTCCCCTACCAGGTCGCTTCTCCAGCCTTTTTAAGAACCCCAAGTCCCCGGCCACGCACAGTGGCTCACGCCTGTAATGCCAGCACTTTGAGTGGCCAAGGCAGGCAGATCACCTGAGGTTAGGAGTTCAAGACCAGCCTGACAACATGGTCTCTACTGAAACCCCGTCTCTACTGAAAATACAAAAAATTAGCCGGGCCTGGTGGCACATGCCTGTAATCCCAGCTGCTTAGTAGGCTGAGGCAGGAGAATCGCTTGAACCCGGGCAGAGGTTGCGGTGAGCCAAGATTGCACCATTGCATTGCAGCCTGGGCAACAAGAGTAAAACTCCGTCTCCCAAAAAAAAAAAAAAAAAGCACCAGTCTCCCCTCATCTTGAATGAGTTCATGGGCTATGGCTCCGCTGCACTATCGCCTTCTAAAATAGAAATCCTGCTCTCCCTCCATTCCCTTTTTATTTCAGGAGATAGCAATCTATTTAACCTCCTTTCAAAATCAGCCAGGCAGTCACACCTTAACATGAGTTCCCTTGTGCTCTGTCATCTCCTGCCTGCCCTCCTTCTCCAGTCATTAAAGAACAAAGTGCTCTTAGCCTCCCGCCCCAGACCCACACACTTCCTTGGGTCTCGCTCCAAAGAGGTGACAGCAGAGAGCAGTGCAGACACCAAAGAACCCTGAGCCTGGCTTCCCTAGGACCAGTGTCGGCCAACAGGAGCAGACCAGGCAGGAGGCAGGAGGGAGACTGGTGGCAGCCAGGGCAGGGGGTGGGGGGTGGTTTGAACACACCCTTGAAAGCCAGCAGACCCCCTGGCAGCACACAGGGTAAGAAGGGCTCCCTGGCTGGGCTGCCCTTCCCAGAAGACCCCTCTGAAGGCATCCGGCCCCCCAGGCCCCTCGCCACCAGACCCACCGCCCGCCTGAGGCCTCCACAGCAGACAGCAACTCTGTGACAAGACAGGAGCTCCGATGAAGGAGCCCCATCCCCAGCCCGCCCTCCCACGTTTTCCCCAAAAGTCTTTCCAGAGTTAAAGGCCTAGACTGTGGTCACGGCAGGGCAGTGGGGCCGGGCTCACCGCGCTTCAGTCTCTCCATGGCACTCTTGCTCCCTGCGTACGTGGGTCTGATCTCCTTCCCCAGCTCTTCAATGATGGCCAGCAGCTCCGCGTATTTGCTTTGGGGCACTTGGCTGTTCCCAGTTCCCTAGAATCAGAAAGAAATTGGTTCAGCAAAATTAGCTGGGCATGTTGGTGGGCACCTGTAGTCCCAGTTACTCAAGAGGCTGAGGCAGGAGAACTGCTTGGACCAGACCCACGAGGCAGAGGTTGCAGTGAGCCAAGATCGCTCCACTGCACTCCAGCCTGGGCGACAGAACAAGACTCCCTCTCAATATCAAAAAAAAAAAAAAAAAAAAAAAAAGGGTTCAGCAGCCTGACCCCAAGGCCACAGGCAGGTGGGTGGAGAGGCCCCTGGGCCGGTCAGAGGAGGGAACGCAGTCCAGCCTTAGACTCCTGGGGTAGCCACCTCAGCTGGGCCAAGGCACGTCCCATTCTAGGGGACAACTACAGGTTAGGGGGATGGTCCTCACCCTCCTATCCTCACACACTCAGGAAGACCACCCAGTCGTCTCCAGGAAGCAAGTGTATCATCTCCAATGAACAAAACAGGGGAACCAGCTCATCTTGGCACAAAAGAGTCCAAACAGCATTTCCCAGGATGCAGATGAGTAGGAGGGCACATCCCAGGTGCCAAGCCTCCAAGCCAGTGGGGAGACAGAGGCCACACCTGGGCCACCAGGACCGCAGCCATCAGCCATGGCCCCGCCAGAGCCTGGAATGCATTCCCTTTTCTCATCCTCCCACCCACAGGGCCCACCCCCCAGAAAACCTTTCCTCCCACCACCACTGGGAGCCCCACAGCAAGCACCCGGATCAGCGAGGCCGGGCTCCCGGCAAGCCCACAAGCCCAGACCGCCTCCCCTTGGCTGCCTCCTCCCAGAGCTGCACCAGCTCCCTGGGCAAGGTCCTCGCCTCCTCCCTCCTCCACCGCCGCCTCTGTCCCCTGGCCTTGCGCTCTGTCCTCCTGTCCTCATCTTGGTCCAGCTGCTCTGCCTCCCCACGGCACTGCCTCCAGGCCTCACGGGCCTCCTGCCTGTCTCGGCGCCGCCGTCGCATGGCCAGTATGTGGCACTGCCACTCCCGGCTGCGCCTCTGCCTGGCCTCCCGCAGCCACCGCTTCTTCAGCTGGTCCCGTTCACAGGCCCGCACCTGCTTCTCCTCCTGGGGCAGGACGGCCTGGCAGGGCATGGCCGGGGAGCCACCCACTCAGCAAGGAACAGGCTCCATGGCGACCTCAGAACACTGGCACTGGGGCCAACCCAGGGAGAGCATCTTCCCACTGGGACCTTCGACAGGGCGGCTCATCCCTTGGAGATGTGGGGTGCAGCTGACATGGTGGCTACCCCATTCCTGCTGTTCCCCAGCCTGGGCTGGGGGTACTAGGATCACCCTTGGGCTGATGAGGAGCCCAGGTCTTGGGCAGTTACCAAGTGGGGGTCACAGTCTGGAAAGTGGTAGAACCAGGGAGCAGCCTCGCCTGGGCCACACTCTCAAACACTGGCCCTCGACAAGAGGCACCTTGGCTCTCGAGACAAGGCCACCTCCTCTGCTGGGCCCACGCCCGTGGAGAGCAAGTGGGAACCGGCTGTTTTCTGTCCCAGCTTGGAGAGCCAGGGTCAAGGTCAGGCCTCACTTGCCCAGGAAAGAGGAGTGAGAAGACCCACCAGAGGAGCGCGTGGGGTGGGGGCTTCAGCACAGCTCGGACTGCTGCCCCTCCCTGGTGTTCTCCTGTCCACTCCACCTCACACGTCCCGGCGAAACACAGTCCCCAGTGCCTGCCATTCTGATGTGTTCTGAGCCGGAGCCCAGTCAGGGCCTTGGGCTGAGAAAGCTCTGTCCCATACCTTCTGCTCCTTCGTATCTTCCACCAGCTTCTCTCCTCTGATGGTGGGGAGCATGTCTCCCCCTCAGCCCTCCCACCATGCCATCACCCCCATTGCCATACCTGGGTGTAGCCTAGGGATGGTGGCCCGTAGTCACTGAGCAGCTGGCGGTACTGTGAAGACGCCATGCTGGTGGAAGGAGAGTGGACACTCCCAGCTGTGGGGTGGGGAGAGAGAGGCCAGGAGTCAGCTCAGCCAGTTGTACCAAGGCAAGGACTCCAGGTCCTGCAATGGCCCTTGCCCAGGACCCACACCACCAACTGTAGCAGGATAGAGAACCCTGCTCTCCACCTCCAGTCTGACCAGTGTAGAAGACGGATAATGAAATGTAGCTACAAGGAACTCGGCCATCCCCAGCTCTGTAGCAGCTGCTGGTCCTCACAGAGCTCCGTCCCGTCCAACCAGAACCTTCCAAGCAGCAGGGCTGCTCCCAAAGATAAAATTACTGCCACTCCTGGCCTCATCCCTGCCCATCCCCTCTCCCTGTGTCCTGGCCCCAGAGGCTGAGAACCTAGAGGCCACATCACACCACAAGAGCCCACTGCCATGGAGGCTGGTCCAAACCAGCTGAGCTTCCAAGCCTTTTTGTCCTATGCGCCCAAATCTCTGCTGTGCTCAATGATGGGGAAGATGGGAAGGCCTTAGAGTATTTGAGACCCAACCCTGGCTGGAGACAGGCACGCTGGACATCAAATTAGGAATCTAGAGAACACCACGGCCTCTGTGTGCCCCAGATAAAGCCCCTCAACCTCTCTGTGCCTGTCTCCCCCTCCCCAAAGAGGGGACCAGACTCTTGGCAGTCTATGTCCCAACGGCTCTGCATTCCAAGAGAGGAGGGTTGAGGCCCCACATATGGGATGCAACATTGGGGCCTGTCCAGGGCTGCAGTCAGTGACCAAGCAGGGCCCAGCCCAGAACGCAGCCTCCTGGATCTGGGAGGGGAGTCTGAGGCTGGGAGCACGCGGCCCCACAATGGCGTCCCAGTGGCCATTAGCGGGTAAAGGATATCCTGCAGAATGACAAACAGCGGTAACCATGGAGAATTTACCTAGTCCTCCTCGGCAGCTGCCCGCCTGCCGCCCCCAGAGCCACACGGTCTCTCTCTCACACACACAGCGGGCGCTGCAGACTTGGCCTCGGGGACGGACAGCTGGTGCCAGGCTGGCCAAACCCACCAGCTGCTCGCTTGGTGTGGGTGAGGGGAGGGGCAGAGGAGGAAGGAAGTTCAGGGCCTCAGGCTGGGGGAGCCGGGAGGAGCCCTGGAGAACCCTGGCTCCAGGCCCCTCTATTTAGAGACATGGACCTGAGGGAGTTGCCCCAGGGCACACAGCATAGCACCTGCCCCTCCATGCAGGGAGCCAGCTACCTCAGCACCTGCCCCACTGTCCGGGAGCGGGGACAGTCCCGAGTTGTCTCCCTGAGTCTCAGGCCAGCCCTGGAAGCCGCCACTGCAGCCCAGGGTTATGCTCCAGCTTGGGCTGGACCTGGAAACGTGGACTTGGATCCTGAACTGGGCAGAGCACCATGCCACTCCGAGCCTCAGTTTCCATGCCTCCCACGTGGGGATGACGAGACACGTGTGCTACAGGGACGGGCAGCTTGGGATGGGGAAGCACTACGCCCACGATATCCGGCATGTCCACGGCCACTGCAGGAATTGGGCAGGGCGATGTCCCCCAGCGCCCCCTCACCACATCAGCCAAACCCCAGTTTCCTGAGCTTCTGATGCGGCAGCAAGCGTGGCATGGGGAACACAGGCTCTGCTGGCAGAGACCTAGGTTTCGATCCTGGTAGCTACACCTCTCTGGCCTCGAGGGCCAGTGTCTGGGAGGGACCATCGAGCACAGCACCCTGGGCGTTTGCAAGATCCCAGCAGCCTGGCAGGAGGGGCGCTAGCCACTTCCCACGCACCCTCGAATCAACTCGGTGTGCCCCTGTCCTCTTCCCCAACTGCTTTGCCCACTGCTCCTCACCTCTCCTTTTCTGTCCTCCCCACTGGACTTGGCGCCAGCCCCAGCTGTGCCACTCCTGGCTGTGTGGCCTCAGACAGGCCCCCCGCCCTCCAGTCCTCAGTTTCTCCATTTGTTAGAGGCAGTGCTTCCCAAGATAAGGTCTACGGGCTCCAGACCCTACTATTTGATGATACTGGGGTTAGGTTTTGCGGGGCTGAGAGGAAGGAGGAATGAGAAATTGTCCCATTTTGGCTGGGGGGACGAGGAGCAATAGCTTGGTGACTCCAATGCTCTGTCCAGGCCAGTCCCTTGTTCAGGGTTGGGTGGGGGGTGTCTAGTCCTGGAGAGAGATGGCGGAAATGCCCCGAGTTCCACTCATGGTCACTCCTTCCTGCAGACACAGGGACCGGGACACAGGGACCACGTCAGCGCAGGCCGTCTCGGCGCATCTCAGACAATGAGCGCAGTGTGCAGGAGCGAGGGGTTGGCAGAGGCCAGGAAGCTCCTGGGGCCAGGCGCGGCTCCCCGCCCCCACGCCAGACAAAGAGCGCCGGGGCCTGGGGAGCTGGCGGCCTTCCCGCCACTTGGGGCGCCTGGGGGGCTCCGGGGCGGGGGAGGCGGGGGCTTTGTCTAACTCCGCCACTGCCACCACCGGCCAGGCCGCGGCTTGGCAACCCGTGAGCAGGAGGCAGGGCTGCAGGGCGTGAGGGATGATGACAAGGAAGCCGGAGGAGCAGCAGCGGCAGCGGAGAGTCCATCTTGGATGCAAATGGCAGGAGGGGAGCTGGGGTTCTGCAAAAGGGTCCATGGGGGAGAGGGAGGGGCACCAAAAAGCCCAGGTCTGGGGATCTCGGCACTCCTGAAATTCTCCACAGGAGAAAAAGAAGAAAAGCTGAATACAGGTGCAGCCAGCTCAGAACAGGACTTCAGGGGTCCCCGTGAGTGCCGCTATCCCTGTGACCCCAAACCCTGAAGGTCCCAGTTTAGGGCCCCGGCCCCAATGACACCAGGTCAAGCCTGAGCTGTCAGCCTTGCCCAGGCTGGCAACACCAGCCCCTGCCCTCCCCACAGGCCAGAGGAAGAACGCTGCTGGCAGTCCTACCTGGCAACAAAGCCCGTCTTTGTAAGGTCTGCGGACCCCAGAGGAGGTGAGAATGTTTGAGAAGAAAACAGTGGCTGTTTGCTCTTTGGGACTCCGAGCCCACAAGTGAGCAATTCAACTCTCCCTCAGCACCCTGACGCTTAACCCTTTCCTGCCCCTACACCTCAGTGTCCAAGGTTTTTTTAAATATCGTTTTTATGGGTCCTACTTCGGATGTGGGAGGTTTATGAAGTCAACGTTTGCAAACAAGGCCCAAAACTCGAGCAGGAGAGCCAGCGTGGCACCGGTGACCAACCGGGCCACTCCTTTCCCTCCGAGTCCTTACCCCCCACGCCCCGCAACACAACCGCCTTTTGGGAAGTCTGTTTCCGACCAAGTGTCAGAGAAGAGGGGCCCCAGTGAGGTCACAAAGCCCGGCACCTACCAATCCCTCAATGTTGCGCCCACTCCCCACGGCTCCCTCGGTCCCCTGGGCTCAGCTCGAAGCTGCCTGACAACTTCTGGAGGAGTTTCCTGGGAGCGCCCGGCTGCCGCCGCAGCCCCAGGAAGGTCGAGGGGAGCCCCTCCCGGCTTCTGCATCGAGGGCCTTCCCGGATCAGCCCTGGGGGCTCCCCGACGGGGCGTCCGCGTGACCCCCTGCCCCCACGCCCGCCCGCGGGCCCTAGCAGCCCCAGGGCTGCGCCAACTTCGTTCACTCCGCGCACACCTTACGGGGATCCCCGCGTGACCGCATGGGGCAGTCCCTGCTCCCACGCGCCCGGCTGAGACCCCCCGGCCTCCGAGCCCGCTGCCCACCGGCGACCCCATCCCGGTCCCAGTACCGGCGGCCCCGCGACCTCAGGGCCCGCGGCAGCCCCGCAGCCCTCCGCCCGCGCCGGCCCGCGCGGGGCCTGGCCCTGCCCGCAGCGTCCCCCGCCCGGGCAGCTCCACGACCCCGCTCCCCAGGGCGGCGGGGCCCCGCGCCCCGCGCCCCGCTCCCGGCGCGGCCCGGGCCGCTCCCGACTCCCGCCGGCAGGGGCCCTCGCCGAGCCGCCCAGAAGCGGGAGGAAAAAGGAGACGAGAACAAGCCTCCCCCGCCCTCGCCCTCGCCCGCCGCGCTCCCTGCGATCCGCAGCCACCGGCGCGGGGGTCACCCCAGGCCGCCCGCCCTGCACCCCCAGCCAAGGCCCTCGGCATGCGGGGCGCACCAGCGAACTTTGGCGGCGCGGGCTCGGAAATCATGGCGGCGGCAGCGCTGCCCCGGGCCGGGCCCCTGAGCCCCCCGCCCCCGGCCTCCGCGGGCGCCCACGGCATCCCCCGGCCGGGGCTGGGCGCGCGGACCCCCAACTTGGCGGCGCTCGGGGCGCGTCGCACGCGGCTCACTCACCGGCGTTGAGGGCGGCGGCGGGCATGTGCGCGTACCAAGTTCGGTTTTTGTAAGACATCCCCGGGCGGCAGGCGCGCCGGGCGCGGGCCAGGCCGCGAGGGCGGCAGCGGCGGCGGCGAGGCCGGGCGGCAGCGGGCCTGGGGTGGGACGGCGGCGGCGGCGGGGCGCGGACGCCGGCGTCGGCCGCGGCGGGCGCGGCGGGGCCAGGCCGCGAGGGCGGCGGCGGCGGCGGCGAGGCCGGGCGGCAGCGTGGCAGCCCCGCGCCCGTCCGAGCGCCCGCCGAGCGCCCGCGCACTTTTTGTTGTCGGCGGCTCGGGCCGCGCCGGCAAATATGGCCGTCCGCGCCCTGCCGCCGCCGCAGTCTCACCCAGGCCCCGGGCGCGGCGCAGGGGCGGCCGCAAACTTTCCGCGGAGCCGGCGGGGCGGCCGGGGCCGGGAGGGGGCGGCCCGGCGTCAGGGGGCGGCTCCGCCTGCGGCCGCGCCCCGCGCCTCCGGGTGCGCTCGGCGCCCGCAACTTGCCAAAGTTTGGGGGGCTGGGGTCCCGGCGGCGCCTGAGGCCCGCGCGCGTCCGGGCGGCTGCCCCGCGCCGGGCGCTCCAGGGGTGCACTGGGGGCCGCCCCCGCGGCAGCTGCAGGAGGCCAGGGCGGCCGGGATCCGAGGAGCACTTTCTTCCCCTTTACGGTGGGGGCAGGGATGGAAAATTACCTGGAGAAAATGGTGGCGAGTGGTGTATTTAAGCACGTAGATCATTCCAGACGCCCAGCTCTGGCCAAGCCCCAGGATTCGAATAACTGATGCTTGACATTGATTTCAAATAAATTTCATGTCTCTGTCTTTATGAAGTGGTTTTTAACCCTTTGGGCATCCAAGACTCCTGTGAGACTGACAAAAGCTAGAGGCCTTCTCCACCCCTCATCCCCCTTCCCGGAAAACTCACCCCTGAATCGCACAATTTCGTGCGTAGACTCACTCCAGTATTTAAGGGAAGCACCTACTATGCGCCACTCACTGTTCCAAGCGCTGAGGATACAAGAACTGAACTTGGCAAAGTTTCTACCCCCTGGAGTTTACGGGGCAATTTTAGATCTTCCTTCGACCCCACCCCCACCCCCAGCCCATCTTCGGATCTGATTGAAATGTAATCATTGAGTGTATTTTGGATTTGGATTAGATGAATAACCTGAAGGTTGTGGGTTTCTTCTCTTTTTTTTCTTTTTCATTTTTTTTTTTTTAATTTTGGAGTTCTGCCGAAGTAGTAAAGCTCGTTAAAATACATAAGATGCCCACCCTTTTCTGTTGTTTTTAATCGCCATGGTTTGCAGATTTAATTAGACACAGGCGTGCAAGCATCATCTCCGGATCTGGTAACAAAAGCACCCACCTAGGGATGCCCACCCAGGCCTGCCTTTTCCTTTAGGACCAAAGGTGCGGGCGGCGACACCCCCTCCCCAGCTTAACCCCCACCCTTGAGATCAGCTGTAGAGCAGCACTAGCGAAGGATGCTCAGTGAAACCTTATTCCATGAATAAATTAATGCCACCCATGTGGCTGGTCCCAGGCGCCTAGTCCTCTAGAGCAGCACTGTCCAATGGAAATAGCATGCCAGCCACATAAGTAATTTTCAATTTTTCAGTAGTCACATTTGAGAAAGTAAAAAAAACACTGGTGAAATTGATTTTGACATGTTTTATTTAACAATAGCTCCAGAACAGCGTGATTTCATTAAAGGGAATTATTAATAAGACACTTTACATTCTCTTATACTAAGTCTTCGCAATCCAGTGTGTGTTTTATACTTACAGCACATTTTAATTCAGAGTAGCCACGTTTCAGCGCTCAGTAGCCACCACAGCTAGGGGTCACCATATTGAACAGTGCAGGGCTGCAGCTACTAGCAGAGGTCTCCTGAGGCGTACACACCGGGTACTGACTCTGACTCCCCCATCCACTGACTGACTGACTAGGCCTCCATTTCCTCAGGGCAAGAATCCAGATCTCACTGGCAGGCCCAGTCCCTTCTATGAGTGCTCTGAACCGATCTATTTCCACATTGTCTCCCTCTGTCACCCAGGCTGGAGTGCAGTGGCTTGATCACAGCTTACTGTAGCTTCGAACTATTGGGCTCAAGTGATCCTCTGCCTCCACCTCCACCTCAAAGCACTGGGATTACAGGTGTCAGCCAATAGTGTTGTGTTTTTTCCATTGTCCCCACTCCTGACTCTAAGTCCATGACATCATTTAAAAACTGTTGGCTGGCCGGGCGCGGTGGCTCAAGCCTGTAATTCCAGCACTTTGGGAGGCCGAGACGGGCGGATCACGAGGTCAGGAGATCGAGACCATCCTGGCGAACACGGTGAAACCCCGTCTCTACTAAAAATACAAAAAAACTAGCCGGGCGAGGTGGCGGGCGCCTGTAGTCCCAGCTACTCCGGAGGCTGAGGCAGGAGAATGGCGTAAACCCGGGAGGCGGAGCTTGCAGTGAGCTGAGATCCGGCCACTGCACTCCAGCCTGGGCGACAGAGCCAGACCCCGTCTCAAAAAAAAAAAAAAAAAAACCCTCCACTGTACTAAGCAAGTAAATCGCCTGTAATCCCAACACTTTGAGAAATAACCCAGTGGGTGGATCATGGTCAGGAGATCAAGACCATCTGGCTAAAAAAAAAAAAAAAAAAAAACTGTTGGCTGAGCGAGGTGGCTCACGCCTGTAATCCCAGCACTTTGAGAGGCCGAGGCGGGTGGATCATGAGGTCAGGAGATCAAGACCATCCTGGCTAACACGATGAAACCCCATCTCTACTAAAAATACAAAAAAACTAGCCGGGAATGGTGGCGAGTGCCTGTAGTCCCAGCTACTCGGGAGGCTGAGGCAGGAGAATGGAGTGAACCCGGGAGGCGGAGCTTGCAGTGAGCCCAGATCGCGCCACTGCACTCCAGTCTGGGTGAGAGAGCGAGATTCCGTCTCAAAAATGTAAAAATAGGCCGGGCGCGGTGGCTCAAGCCTGTAATCCCAGCACTCTGGGAGGCCGAGGCGGGAGGATCACGAGGTCAGGAGATCGAGACCATCCTGGCTAACACGGTGAAACCCCGTCTCTACTAAAAAAAATACAATAAACTAGCCGGGCGAGGTGGCGGGTGCCTGTAGTCCCAGCTATTCGGGAGGCTGAGGCAGGAGAATGGCGTAAACCCGGGAGGCGGAGCTTGCAGTGAGCTGAGATCCGGCCACTGCACTCTAGCCTGGGCGACAGAGCGAGACTCCGTCTCAAAAAAAAAAAAAAAAAATGTAAAAATAATAAAAATAGAAAAAATTAGCTGGGCGTGGTGGTGGGCACCTGTAATCCCAGCTACTTGGGAGGCTGAGACAAGAGAATCGCTTGAACCTGGGGTTGAGGAGGTTGCAGTGAGCTGAGATCCTGCCCCTTGCACTCCAGCCTGGGTGACAGAGCAAGATTCTGCCTCAGGAAAAAAAAAAAAAAAAAAAGTTTCAGCTCACTCCTGTAATTCCAGAACTTTGGGAGAAAGGCAGGCGGATCACCTGAGGTCAGGAGATTGAGACTAGCCAGGCCAACATGGTGAAACCCCATCTTAACTAAAAGTACAAAAATTAGGTCGGTGTGGTGGCGCGTGACTTAGTCCCAGCTATTCAAGAGGCTGAGGTAGAATTGCTTGAACCCAGGAGGTGGAGGTTGCAGTGAGCTGAGATCGAGCCACTGCACTCAAACCTGGGTGACAGGGCGAGACTCCATCTCAAAGAAAAAAAAAATGTTTCAGCTGGGCACGATGGCTCACTTCTGTAATCCCAGTACTATGGAAGGTCAAGGCAGGCAGATCAGTTGAGCCCAGGGGTTCAAGACCAGCATGGGCAACATAGAAAGAACCCATCTCTACTAAAAATACAAAAACTAGCTAGGGCATAGTGACATGCGCCCATGGTCCCAGCTACTCTGGAGGCTGAGGTGCTGCGGTGGGAGGATCACTGGAGCCCAGAAAGCAGAGGTTTCACTGACCTGTAATGGCACCACTGCTCCAGCCTGGGCGATAGAACAAAACTGTGTCTCGAAAAAAAAAAAAAAAAAAACGAAAGAAAAGAAAAAAATGTTTCCATTTTTTATTCTAATTGAGATATTATTCACTTAGCATAAAATTCACCCTTTAAAAGTATATACAACTTAGAGGCCGGGTGCGGTGGCTCACGCCTGTAATCCCAGCACTTTGGGAGACAGAGGTGGTCGGATGACGAGGTCAGGAGATCGAGACCATCCTGGCTAACACGATGAAACCCCATCTCTACTAAAAATACAAAAAAGTTAGCCGGGCATGGTGGCAGGTGCCTGTAGTCCCAGCTACTCAGGAGGCTGAGGCAGGAGAATCACTTGAACCGGGGAGGCGGAGCTTGCAGTGAGCTGAGATAGCGCCACTGCACTCCAGCCTGGGTGACAGAGCGAGACTCCGTCTCAAAAAATATATATCTATATACAACTCGGCCAGACACAGTGGCTCACACCTGTAATGCCAACATTTCGGGAGGCCGAGGTGGGTGGATCACAAGGCCAGGAGATCAAGACCATCCTGACCAACATGGTGAAACCCCGTCTCTACTAAAATACCAAAAAAAAAGCCGGGCATGGTGGTGCGCGTCTGTAATCCCAGCACTTTGTGAGGCTGAGGTGGGCAGATCTCTTGAGCCCAGGAGTCTGAGACCAGCCTAGGAAACATAATAAGACCACATCTCTACTAAACATTAGCCGAAAGTGGAGGCTAACCTGTAGTCCCAGCTACTCAGGAGGCTGAGGTAGGAGGATCACCTAACTTTGGGGAGGTCGAGGCTGCAGTGAGCCAAGATCAGGACACTGCACTCCAGCCTGGGTGACAGTGAGACTCTGTCCCCTAACCCTCTGAAAAAGTATGTAATTCAGTGATTTTTAGCGTATTCACAGAGTTGTGCAACTCTAATGCACTATCTAATTCTAGAACCTTTTTTTTTTTTTTGAGACAGAGTCTTGCTCTGCTGCCCAGGCTGGAGTGCAGGGGCACCATCTCGGCTCACTGCAAGCTCTGCCTCCCGGGTTCATGCCATTCTCCCACCTCAGCCTCCTCCCGCCCGCCACCACACTCAGCTAATTTTTTTTTGTTTTTGTGTTTTTTGTGGAGACAGGATTTCACAATGTTAGCCAGGATGGTCTTGATCTCCTGACCTCGTGATCCACTCGCCTCGGCCTCCCAAAGTGCTGGGATTACAGGCGTGAGCCACCACAAGTGGCCATTATTTCTTATTCAAATTAATACCCAGCAGGGTGCATTGGCTCACACATGTAATCCCAGCACTTTGGGGGGCCAAGGCAGAACATTATCATCACCCTGTTTTATTTTTTTATTTTTATTTTTATTTTTTTGAGATGGAGTCTTGCTCTTGTTGCCCAGACTGGAGTGCAATGGCACAATCCTGGCTCACTGCAACCTCCACCTCCCAGGTTCAAGCGATTCTCCTGCCTCAGCCTCTCCAGTAGCTGGGATTACAAGCACCCACTACCATGCCTGGCTAATTTTGGTATTTTGGGTAGAGACGGGGTTTCACCATGTTAGCCAGGCTGGTCTCGAACTGCTGACCTCAGGTGATCCGCCCGCCTTGGCCTCCCACCATGCTGGGATTACAGGTGTGAGCCACCACTCCCAGCCCACCTCATTTGATATTTATTTATTTAAAGACAAAGTCTCTATCTGTCACCCAGGCTGGAGTGCAGTGGCAGGATCTCAGCTCACTGCAGGCTCCGCTTCCCGGGTTCACGCCATTCTCCTGCCTCAACCTCCTGAGGTTGCAGTGAGCCAAGATCGTGCCACTGCACTCCAGCCTGGGTGATGGAGCAAGACCCCGTC